TTTTTTTTCAAATGGCTCCATCTATTGGTGGGGAGCATCACCTGCTGGAAAGCGGGTCCAGCGTCCCTTACATGAAATAAATTTGAACCATTTCAGAAATAATAAATGACGATTCCGTACGGTCATTATAGCTCTATTTGAGGCATCTTGCAGTGTAGATACAACTATGACCGTATATGTTGTATTCGGGGGAAGAAGGTAGTGGTTGACATGGTAAACCATGTAACATGCTAAGAGCATGATTTGATGGCCAAATTTTTTATTTTTTTTTTGGGCTGGGCTTTTTGTTGTTTTCTTTGGCTGTTTGTTAATATTGGCATCCACTCCATGAAATGGCGACAAGTTTGGTTAAAAAGGTCTTCGGGCTTTCTTATAAATAGCATTCGAAAAAGGCTGAAGTCTGGGGCCTCCGTGAACCGCCTCTCAAATAGATGGGCTGCAGATTTTGTGTAGTAGTTAGTGCAAGGAAAATGAGCGATAGCAAACTTCATAAACCAAGTAGCATCATACACATGAGACCAGATAGTCGTGACCTCGAACCAAAAGCAGAATTGCAACACAAGTCCCACCAAATAAGAGCACAGCAAGAGCTCATAAGTGACAATGTTGGAATAGTCTCATCATCAACAAAGAACCAATGTCGACATTCTATCTGGCGCTCTGCGCCCAGACTACAAATGGCAGATCCTACCTAGCCTATCCACAATCCCGCTGGTGACGTCAACAGTTCCCCGAAGTACGAGCAGATCTCAGCCAATGCTGTTCGCCTCAAGCACCAGGTATGTCTCTCATATCACTCACAACCTCGATCCCCCACAGTGACTCACAGATGCCACGTGCACCCAAGGACCACCATGCGCCCCATCCAGCATACAGCAGCGCAGATCGGCTATGGCTGCCTGCTCCTTCCAGCTCGCCCGTGAGCGCGTGAGCGCTGGCCGCGTTAGCGCAGCAGCGCTTGCGCAGCATGCAGCCAGTGCCTGAATGCCGAATCTGTGGGCAGGCACTTTCCTAAATAGAAGTGGCCTGGCTGCGCTGGGCCCCTGCCCAGACGCTTCCGGTAGGCCCAGAGAAGCTGAGTGGCCTGAGGCCCTGTCCAAATGAATCAAGCCCTGGGCCTGTGGTGTCCAGCTTCCCGTGGCCTGTGTTCAGTCCACGTTGCGAACCTGGCCCAGGGCCTGCCTCAGTTACATTCGAAAGAGGCAGCCTGGGCCTGGGCGCTCTCAACCAACTGGTGCTGCGCAACTGCCTGAATTTCCCCAGTTGCGTGCTGACCCCAGAATGGGCCTGTAGGCCTTAGTCGAGCCTGCCTTCACTTAGGGTGGCCGACTGTACAGAAAATAGGGCCCGGTAGGGCGTATCGAGGCCTTGAGGCTCACATTGAATTTCCCTTTTCCAATAATCTGGCGCTTTCCTTTCTGCGGCAACTTATCGTAGTGGGCGACCTGGTCTGCATCAGTTCCTCCCGAGTAAACCCTCTATCCTCCTTTGGATCAGTATGATGTGTGAACTGAATGCGGTACTGGAGCTTCGGCTTCGGAGGACGTCCTCTACTTGAAGGTCTTGGAATTGGCATTTCCCTGTGGTCCAAGATGTCATCGATGTCGACCTCTCCATCCATGGTTGGAGGCAGCATTGAGTGTCGTGAGGGAACTGATCAGTTTCCTCAAAAGGTGCAAGCTTGGAGGCGTGAAAGCCAGGGTAAGTGCGAAGGTGACCAGGGATCTGAACTACATCGCTGCCTGTGCCCTGTGCATCTGTTCTACAGCTTGCTGCATCAACTGTTCATATCGATAAGCAAATTCCAATGTACCAGGTGCAGCTGTCAGCTGACTCTCAGGTAGTAGGAAGTTTAGAGGCAGTCTAGGCTTGAATGTCAGTAGCAGGCTGTTTGGACTCACCCCTGTTGCGCTGTGGACAACACTGTTGTACAGGCTGGCGATGAGAGCCAGTTTCTCATCCCAGTCCACCTGGTTGGGCTTAATGTAGTGCCTCAACAGGTGTTGTACAGCGCGATTCAGCTGCTCTGCTTGCCCGTTTGCCTCTGGGTGGTTCCTGGAGGTCATCTGCAGCTGGTCACCTTGTTCTGCAGCTGCATCCTTCCACAGTCCACTAGTAATTGAACATGAAAGTTGTCGTTTTGCAAAGCTTCGTTATTTTTTTTTTTGTTTTTGTTTTGCTCCTGTATTCTAACTTGTCAAAAAAGGTGGCAGCCGTTTCGGAATGTGACACTTTACTTGCGAATACATCCACGTCATACAACTACCATGTCATACCACTTTTCCCGTGGTTTGGTGACATAGCCCCTTTGCTTCGCGAGAAGCAGCGACGGTGTGACGAAGGGCCAAGGCCGGGATGGGGGGATGTGGAATGGCTGGTGAGAGAGAGAGAGAGAGAGAGAGAGAGAGAGAGAGAGAGAGAGAGAGAGAGAGA